TTTCGGTAACTAAAAAGAAAATTTGACAGTCGATGCTCCAAACTTAGTTTAATCCCCAATTTTCGTTCCTCTAATACCAACTTCTTTAGCGCTGACTTAACAGTTCCCACTGCCCTCTCTGCACTTCCGTTTGATGTGGGATGATATGATGGAGAATGAATCAGCTTGATACCATTAGAAGCACAAAATAATTCAACTTCTTTTCTGCTTGAAAAGGGGGGCCCATTATCAGCCACCAATGACTCCGGTAGACCAAACGTAGCAAAAACCTGTCTCAGTTTTTCCAAAATTTTACTCGCATTTGTGCCATTTATCATAGGAAAGATTTCCAGCCATCTTGATGATGAATCGATTAATATAAAAAAGTATATCTGATTAATCTGGTAAAAGTCCATATGTACTCTTTGCCAGTGTCTAGTAGCCGGCCTCCAGGGTGTTAATTCAACCTCTTGAGGTCTCCTGGCACTTAATTGACAAGCTTCACACCTACCCACCTTTTCCTCAATATCTGTGTCAATACCAGGCCACCAAACTGTACTCCTAGCCAGCATTTTCATTCTAACTATTCCAGGGTGCTGATCATGTAGAACTTCTAGCACGTCTTCTCTCATAGATCTAGGAATTACAACTCGATTACCCCATGTTAAACAGCCTTCCTCTATACTTAATTCATATCTTTTTCTAAAGTATGGTAATAACAGTTCGTCCTTCATATGTGTAGGCCAACCAAACTTAGTTAGCTCCAAAACTTTAACTAAACTCATATCCTTACCAGTTTCTTTTGCAATGTCCTCTGCTGTAAGAGGTACTTCTGGATCTAACGTAAATGCATAAACCTCTTCCTCGTCCATACTGGCTTCACTTAAAGGAAGCCTTGATAACCCATCAGCATTTGCAATATCCTTACCCTTTTTGTGCTTTATTGTATACTGATATGCAGAAAGAATTAACGCATACCTTTGAAGTCTTGAATGAGCAAGTGTTGGTATCCCTGATTTTGGACCTAAAATTGATTTAAGAGATTCATGATCTGAAATTAATGTGAACTTTCTTCCATAAATAAACTTATGGAATTTTTTTACAGCAAATATGATTGCCAGTGCTTCTTTTTGAACCTGGGCATAGTTTTGTTGATGTTTGTTTAGTGTACATGAAACAAATAGAACTGGCCTCTCTACATCATTTACTATTATGCTTAATACTGCTCCCAATCCATACTGAGACGAATCACATGTGACAACCAACTCCTTTGTTGGATCATAAATAGCTAAAGCCTTGCTATTCAGTAAAAGTGTCTTACTTTTTTCAAAAGCCCTTTGTTGTTCTTCACCCCATTCAAATTTTTGATTTTTCTGTAACAATTTATATAAGGAATATAGTTCTGTAGATAACATGGGTATAAATTTAGAATAATAATTTAGCAATCCCAAATAAGCTCTTAATTCAGTTAAATTTTTGGGCGCAGGAGCTTTCTGAATAGCTTCTATTTTCTTTTGCATTGGTTTAACACCTTCTTTATCTAATACATGTCCCAAGTATTCGACAGACTCACGAAAGAAGCATGATTTATTTTGATTAATTCTAATATTATATTTATTCAGTCTTTCAAAAACTTTTAGCATATTATTCTTACAATCAGTAACATCTTCCCCAGCAATAATGACATCATCCAGGTAAACACCTGTCATATCTATACCAGACAAAACTTGTTCCATCAACATCTGAAAAATTGCTGGAGCGCTAGACACACCGTACGGTAATCGTGTAAATTTATATAACCCACAGTGCGTATTTATTGTTAACAAATTTTTAGAAGTTTCATTGACTTTTAACTGCAAATAGGCATTTGACAAATCTAAAATTGTAAAAACTTTACCTCCGACTAATTTATGAAAAATATCTTGCAGGTTTGGGAGGGGGTAATGATCCTGTTTCAAAATAGGATTCAAGGTTTTTTTAAAATCTCCACATATCCTAATTCCTCCATTGCTCTTTTTTACTATGACTATTGGACTTGCTATTTCTGCTTGTGTGGTTCGTACTAAGATACCTGACTTTTCCATTTGACTAAGTTCCTTACTTACTTGTTCTCGAAGAGCATAAGGTACATCATATGCTTTGTGAAATATCATTTGAGCATCTTCTTTAATAACTAAATTGGCTTGACACCCTTCTATGGCTTGACTATTGTCCTGACTAAAAACTTTTGGGAAGAGTGCCCTAAAATGTTCCAACTCTGCAAACTTGACCGCATTTACCTCACCTTGACTATTATTTACCTTAAAAATTTCCCTCCAGTTCGGCTTTATTACATCAAGCCAAGACCTACCTAACAAGGGAGTAAATTTCTCCTTAGTATCTACTATAAATAAAGATAACTTATAAACATTATTGTTTGATTTTACGTTAACATTAACCTTACCTATTACAGTCAATATACTTCCTGAAACAGTTTTTAACTTACTACTAGTTTTATTTACTGTCAAATACAAAAATTTTTCCTTAAATTCAATAAAAGACATAAGACTTACAGTAGCTCCACTATCAACTTCCATAGTTACTTCCTTATTTTCCACTTCGACGTTTATTAAGGCTGGAATAGACTTAATATTGTTGATTTCAATTATCTGGTTTGCTTCTCCCACTTCTGACTCGACATTACCTTCTTCTTGTACAATGCTATTAAATTCATATACATTTTCTTGTTGGTTTTCTTCTTCTTCTTCTTTTGTGAAGTTTACATTTCTATATCTACACACTGTAGATGTGTGACCCTGCTTCTGACAGACAAAACATTTCCATTCTTTAGCAGGACAGATATCTGCATTGTGAAATCTAGAACATCTCCAACAATTTCTATACCTGCTTCTAGACTGACTTGAAGGATTATTTGGGTGACTTCCATTACTTTGACCATTTTTATTACTTTGGTGACTAACAATACTTGGACTAGATTTAGTATTTGTTTTTAATTTTTGTGGGTTAACTTTTTCATAGACTTTATGAACACTATCTGGTTCGTGCTGAATTTCTTTGCTTTCCAGGTATATGATTTCTTGGGCAAGTGCAATGTTACAAGCTTTAACAAATGTGAGATCTTTTTCTGACAAAAGCCGATCTTGAATTCTTTTTTCAGATATTCCACAGACAAATTTATCTCTTAACGCCCTGTCAAGATAATCATTGACCATTTCAAATTCGCATAAAGATGCTTGTTCTTTTAGATTTGCAATATACTGAGCAATAGTACTGGTACCTTGGTTTAATTTGTAAAACTTGTAACTTTCATATATGACAGACTTTTTTGGTGCCATTCTATCTTTTAGTAGTTTCTTTAATTCTGCATAACTCTTAGAAGACACTGTTGCTGGCTTTGTTAAGTTTTTCAACATTTTATATGCCTCACCTCCAATTAAGGTTACAAAAAGATCCACTTTTTCTTCATCTTCCACCTTATTACACTTGAAAAGGTGATCCATTCTTTCTAGATATGTCTCAATCTCTGTTTTGTCTATTTGGATGGCTTCTATATTCCCAATTAAAGCCATTTTTTTTTCTTTGTTCTACTGGAGCAACGTACCTACTTTCAGACTTCTCGACTTTTATTAGCTTTCATTGACTTCTTATACTTATACTTTTGACCTCTTGTGGACCCGTTTTATCCTCGTCGCCAATTAATATGTCCGTACTTGAGAATAGTGGATTTATTTAAGACTTTTTAAATAAAAACATGTTTGGATGTAATCCTTTATTTCTGACATTTCCCACAATGACATTTTATCTATCCCTCAACGATACCTAACCTCTAAGCGTGTTCCGTAGCAAACTAAAGAATACAATATGTTCGGAACACAATTACACAATACATCACACTCACGTCCTTACTAGGACACAATTTAACTTGAAAAAAATAATTTTATTACCGTTTCGACTTCCAATTCGGACGTCGTTGTCAAAATACAAAATAATAATTTATTTTTGTATTTTGACAACGACGTCTGACTTGGAAGACGAAACGTTAATAAAATTATTTTTTCAAGTTAAACTGTAGCTTATTTCCGAATTAGAATAGTTGATATTCGTTTATTTTATTAAAAAATTGTTGAAATTGTTAAAACATTTGAAATTCGAAAAACGAAGAGAATTTTTTTTATTTAAATTTGTGGCTAAAAAGCACAACAAAACATCTTTTCAGCAGTTTGAATTTTAATTGATGTATTCTTGCACATTACGCGAATGATTTGACGAAAAGACTATTGCAAAATTTAATTAATTTTTTGCAGACTACAACTAAAACTAACGAATAATGCAGAAAACACAAAAAATCGCCGATATAACCAAATTCACCTACGAAATGTAAATAAGGACAAAATTTCATAAATGTCAAAATTTCATAACAATGGAAACTTGCCTGCCGTTGGACGAATTATAAACAAGCGTTATGACGCGGTAAACTTGAATTACTCCTCCTGGTTTAAAAACAGAGTATAGTAATGCCGATGCCGTGAGAGATTCGAAATTAACCTCCTTTTTATTAACGTTTATATGCCATAATAATAACGTTTATATGTACAATATTTAAAAACCATTGAGATTTTAAAACTTGCGCAATACCGTTGATATTTAAAATACCGTTAAAAAATATAAACAATGAATTATAATATTGTTTTTAATTTATTAAACCCTTTGTTTTTGTAATATTAACATTTAGTGAGAACATCTGGACAGTTAAATATGAGAAGCCGCATTTTTTATTTAAATAAATTAATAGTAGTAGGCTCAGAAAATTTTAATACGGCTCTGTAAGGTTAACGGTGGTGGATTACCAATTTAGTACTTTGCCGGTATTACTTCCTGATATCAAAGTGCCGACAGACGAGTAGTTTTACTGTGGAACCTCTTTATACTGTGATCTTAGCTTCAGAGTGAATAGACTTTAAATTTTATTTGTTATTTATAAGTCTATTTTAGTCAAAATAAAAAAATATTTCATATTTTAGGTGCCATTGGTTTAATTAGTTATGGTATAGTCGCAGGATGGACGTCACCGTTTCTGTCAGCTTTAACATCCGAATCGTCAACAATACCAATCACTAATGAAGAGGTATCATGGCTTGCTGTAATAACTTCAGTAGGTTCTCCATTTGGTGCAATTATTGGAAGTTATGTAGCAGATACTTTCGGTCGAAAACGGTCTCTGCTCATGGGAGCTCCAATAGTGTTTTTTGGAAACATTTGGCTGGCTTTTGCTAATAAATTATGGATGTTATTTTTCATAAGAATTATGATAGGAATGGTTGATGGATATAGCTTTACAGTTCTACCGGTATATATAGGAGAAATATCTTCTCCAGAGATTAGAGGATTTTTGTCAACACTTCCTACTTTATTGTTTCTATCAGGAATTTTAATAATTAACGTTATTGGTTCCGTGTGGAGTATCTTTACTTGTGCTCTAATAGCATCCGTTATTCCTCTAATACATTTCGTTACTTTTATATTTGTGCCTGAATCTCCTTATTGGTATATTAAGGTCAATCGATATGAAGATGCGGAAAAATCTTTGCAGATTTTACAAGGAGAAAATGATGTTAAGCAACAATTATACATTATTCAAGAAGCTGTACGAGAAGAAGAGAAAAAAAGTAAACCAAAAGTTACTGATCTATTTACAGTACCAAGTAATAGACGAGCAACTATCATTACATGTATTTTAGCTTTACAACACAAAGCTACTGCTAAAACTCCTTTATTTTTGTTCACTAAAACAATATTCGAAAAAACTGGAAGTGACATTAGCCCCACAGTTTCTACAATCTCATACTCAGCAGTAGAAATTTTGGTAGTTGCTTTTACTGGATTTTTCATTTTGGACAGATTCGGCAAGAGAATTTTTTGTATAATTTCTTTAATTGGTTGTATTATATGCTTATTTACCATCGGTGTTTATTTTCAGTTGGATATATTGGAAAGTAAACTAATTCCGTATTTGAATTGGTTACCCCTTACTGCTTTAATCTTATTTAACATCTTTCATAACATAGGTATATCCTTTGCACCATTTTGTTACGCTTGTGAGTTATTCCCAACAGGGGTTAGGGCTAATGCTCTTACAATGACTGAATTGTGTATGTCTGTATTTGCTGTAATATCAGCGAAAGTATTTCATTGGCTGGAAAATTATTATGGTTCGTATGCTATACCATTTTTTACATTTTCAGGTGTCAGTTTTATTATTTTTATATTTGTAGTTAAACTTATTCCTGAAACTAAGGGAAAATCATTAGAAGAGATACAGGAATTCTTAAAAACAAAAACGAAATAAATTATTATATAATTTAATAGTCCGTCGTATATCCTTGTTCTTTATTTCGTATCTTAGCATGATTTCTCCAATTAATCTCTGTATATTCAGATTAATTTTACTAACTTTTTTATTATCATTGTGTTTGTTCTGAATGATGTCTGTCTGTAAGGATAATGGGTTTAAATCGTATAATGTATGAAATAAAAGAGTAAGAGGGTATTACCTATTACGTTATAAATTATATTAATTCATATTACTGCGATTGATTAGTAATTAAATTTTTTAATATTTTGAATTGTTTTATTATTTTTAAACACAGTTTTGACAATTAAGATTTTTAAAACAACCCAGTGTTTTTTTTTAAATCTGTAACATATATTTTGGAATTACTAAACAAAGGGACGGAGGTACAAGAACAAGAGTTCGGGGAAGACGAAGAAGAAAATTAATTAACTAGACCCCCAACGCTAGAGGAGGTCCAAACGGCAATCCACATACAAAAAAGCCATAAAGCACCGGGAATAGATAAAATACCAGCAGAACTACTCAAGCAAGGAGGATGGAATTTGACACAATAGATGTAACAGCTAATAAGAGAGATATGGATAGTAGAAGAAATTCCCTAACAGTGGAAGAAAAGTATAATCTGCCCTATTCATAAAAAACGAGACAAACTGTTGTGTCAGAATTATAGAGGCATCTCTTTACTTTGTTCGGGATACAAAATAATCACAAACATAATTAATCGAAGACTTTAATCTCTCACGGAAAAAATCATCGGGGAATATCAAGCAGGGTTTAGCAAAATAGATTTACTATTGACCAACTATTTACAGTTAAACAAATACTAGCCAAAGTATAATATGGGAATATGACATGGACGTTTACAATCTCTTTGTAGATTTTAAACAAGCCCATTATTCAATAGATAGAACAATTCTATCTAATATATTGGATGCTGTATATAATCAGATGCTGTTGGAATACCACATTCAATACAAAGAACTGTTCTGCATCCATCACAAGAAAAAACTTGGTTTAAGTCAAATTGGTTATCACACTCTGCACATGTATTCATTTTATTTATTAAAATATATAACAAATATAGAAAATTTCCTGGACTATAATCACAATCTCGAACCACTTAGCCTTACCAGCACATTAAGTTGTTATTATTGTCACTATTTAATTTTATTAATCAACTTTTTGTAGTAAAGAAAGGATTTAACATCAAAATTATTCAATCAAACAGCTAGTTACACTTAAAATTTTCTAGGATCTTACTTATACACAATTCCAACTTACTTACCAAAAAATTGAAAATTTTTGGTCAGTTTAAACCATTGTTTAAACTATAAAATAACACACATTTATGGAGCACATCAATTTACAACACAATTTACTAGGCTGCAATCTAGATCTATAACAATGGTCTTCTGCAATGGGCACAAACCAATAAAGGCAAAGAAAGACTGCAAGTTCCATCCTACAAATAGCTTGGAAAGCTGTTTTAACCAATCCAGCAATATCTCTTTAGGTCTTTAGGTTAATTTAAACAGGCGATATTGCTTCATCCACTTTGCACAAGCCTCATTCTGTGCAGCCTTGAAGAGTCTCATTATTGCTGGGTCAAGAGGCTGAAGTTTATGAATGGTATGAGGGGGTAGACATATGAACATTGTGGTCTCTTACATATACAATTACTTGTAGTTTCTTGTGAGATGGGTAGCCATCAATTATCAAAAAGCCAGACTTTCCTTAGTGTGATTCGATCGAGCAACAAACATTTTTAGCCAAAGCAAAAATGAATTTGCAGTAATACACCTACTTTGTTCACAAGCCAAAATACTCCTCTCTGGAGCATTCTTCTTAAACTTTTTTGCCATTTTAACCCTAACAAATACAAATAATAAAGGTAACAAAACATTACTTGTTGCGTTGATATATAGTAGCACAGTTACATTTTTGCCTCTCTGTCCCGACGTGATTTTACTAATACGCGTTTTTCCTTTCTGTGACAAAACCGCTGAGGCATTATCATGGACTACACAAACTTCCCGTCTCATCGCAGTCAAACATCTTTGAGGGACTAAAGTTAAATTGTGATAGCAGTGCTTCATATTTGTTGAAGAAGAGTCCCACTTGTGGTTTGTTGAAACCGACAGCTCTTTGAACAGTTGTTGACTGTGGTTTTTACAACGAAACTTGACGATGGCGGCTCATAAATTCATAATATAACTTGTCTCCTGCAATATTTGTTTCTTTTTTAATTTAGTGAGGAAGTTTTAAGTGCTTAGCTAACTAAAAAACAAATATTAAAAACTCTTGTTGTTCATAGACATCATCTTGTTGTCTAAATCTATTAAATGCTCAACTAATTTTGTTTCTAGCTTTTCAGTAAATGTTTCCTTAAAATGATCCGTAAGTGGCTGCATATTCACGTCTCCACTTCCTCTTAACTATTTAATTCTGCCTGCCAGCGTGCTCTTTGGGATAAAAAAAAATGAAAAGAAGCTTATCTAGTAGTCATTTTTTTTTAATATGGCTTGATTGCCATTTTCATTGGGTCTTCTGACCAAACACCCTGTCAATGTACCTGGAAAAAAATAATTAGTGAGCTAGCACACAATATTTACTGTCCTGTTCTGGGCAATTCACGACTGTCCGATACTGGGAAATATGATGGGGAGATGATTTAATGTTTATCTTACGCTGCCTGCATGTGAACCGAAGTGTTATACAGCTTTTACCGCTAGAGTGCATACCCCTGCTATCTAGCGGACTTTATCGGAAACATACTTTGTCCGGTAGTGAGCAGTGTCCAGTACCTGGCAAGTCTTCCCTACTACTAAGGTAAAATGAATAATGGCTATTTATATTTTACTTTTCGTTTAAAATGTCATATTGACATTTTATACAAATGTAACACACTTCTGGTGATAAATTAACCAATACCTGCAAGATACATTTCTAAATGGTAAATATTTGAATCAGTAATGACTGAAGAGATAAACAACATTTTATATTCTACTACAACTGGTAGGGATTATGTTCCAAAAGCGTACTGCAAGTAAGTTATTCCTTTTATATAATTATTAATAAACTGGAGATTTTGTGTAAAATTATCCTTATTGATCATTAATTCCATGTCTATCGCATTAATTAGATCTTTTCTTTTTCCTATAAATATAAATACTCACGCATACAAAAACCCCCACACACACTTACACAAAACACACATTTACACATGTACATATACACCATGCACCACAACTGACTCATCATATGGTGAGATTTGTGCCACGACTACTGAGCTTTCCAATTCCGAGGTGTAACACCATCATTTCCAAATAATGCATATCGCAGGCAAAAAAGTGTTGTTTAAGCGATGCCCTGGACATCTAGCGAACTCTGATGAATTATAGTCGTGGCACCATAATAACACACACTTGACACACTGTTTTACCTAACAGAAATTCTTCTCCACTCATAGGAATAAAATGGATAACAGACAAAAAATAACGGTCCAGAAGAAAACTTAGAAGTGAGTGACGTTTTTAAATTCAAATTATAAATGTTTAGAAAATAAGAAATGGGCGACTATAGTCGCAGACTCTGTATCAATGACTCCATTCAAGGTCCCATAGGCTAACCGTTAGCGGATTTAAACAACTTTCGCATAACGTACTGTTGCTATGAGAAGGTCAGATGCCGCCTTGATATAAAAGCTTTAAGTATATTAAAGCCCAATAAAAGGTCCATCAATACACTCATACGTCGACGAAATGCAAGATATGCCAAAAATATTGCCCCTGTCCATAAAAATCTGCAGGAGAATCTGAGGCAATCGATTTGACGTCGCTCACAAAAATTTTGCCTTTCACAGACCACAAATTTTCGAAGTTTCGAATTTTTCGAACATACATGCATACAAAATTTAACTCATCTACAGCCTGAAGGTAAAAGATCATAGACAATGACGTATGTTCGCTAAATAGGGTGTAGAACAATTGGAAAATCATTTTCATCTTCAGTTTCACTGATTAAAACCTAATTTTCATCGAATATTCATCTTTAGCGATGAGGTGTAATTTTGGATCAATGGGTACGTCAGGAAATAGAATTGTAAATATATAGAAAGGACAGTTAAAACCTAATTTTAGGTATAGTGTCTTAACAATTAGTTTACACTTATTTCGTCCTTGCAGGACTCATCAGAGCTCATACGTCAGTTTATTTTCTCCTTCAAATTTCACTATTATAAGTATACTGTTCAAAAGATACGGGAGGTCGAAGGGACTTTGGGCAAGTACTGTACGTATCTTTATTTTATTAATTCGGTATTGTAATAAATCTAGGCTAAGTTGCTGACTTGCGGCAACTATAATTTTATTTTTTACATCTGACCTATGTATCAATTGTTGTTCTAGACGTGATCCTATACGTCCTGTTATAAATAAATTTGAAGAACCAATTACATCTGCGTTCACAAAGTTTTTAACAATTGACACAGATGTTAGATCACCATTAGAAGATGGAGATGAATACTATGAGAAAGTATGTATAAAATCAAACATTAAAAAATCTCACAATGGTGTAATAATGATATATACTCTAATTTTATTAAAATTTTGTAGATTATTATTATAGTAAGGTCTAATAATTCTTAGATTACATTTTGAAAATATTAAATTTTAAAAATGTTGTGAAACGAGGTCTATGTTACACGGTATAGAGGTGTTAGAGGTTTTACTTCTTTGAAACTTATTTAAACTATGGTATTGTCGCCCTGGTGCATTTAGTGACCAACTAACACGCACCTTGGTATGCATAGCCCCGCCTTTTGGATTTTATTCAATTTTTCATTGGCCAGGAGATCCGAAAATCTCATATAAATATTAAATTATCTTTAAATATGGGATTCTTCGGGTCTTGACATCAGTCGTTGGACCACGTCCCTACCAAGAGCACGTCTGGGGCTCTGCTACACTTTTGCTGCTGCAATCTAAGACTCTGTAGGTAGTCTTTTCTACCTACACCTGTGTTTTTATTCTACGATGTCTACCTACATCCTTCACCTTTTATTGAGTCTTTTTCAAGACTCAATAATAAGAAATATCAAAACATATACTTATATGGATGTACGCTTAGGGGTATTTCACATTTTATAGTTGAAACCCCTAAGTAGAGCGTACAGCAAGTGTATTATTTACCTGAGATATACTCTTGCTGCGACGACAGTATACAACCAACCACTGTAATTTTCTCTTTTATTAATTAACAAAAATGTTGAAAAACATCATTTTTTATTTACGTAACATGAGAGATATACTTAATTTTGCACAACGCAAAGATAAATTACAGGATAGTAATTATGAAAAGTATAGAACAAAAACTGAAAGAATACATGAGAAATTAAGAAAATTTTCAAACTAGATGGATTAAAATACAGTCCCTATTAAAATTGTTAGATCCGACTAGACAATAGAAGTTTTAATTTATCTAATTTCAAGCTCATTAAAAGTATCACATTGTCACTAATGCCACATATTGGTCACATTGCTCATGTAGTGATCCTTTCCCACGTTAACATGCTCCTTTTCTAACTTGGCTGCACCGTACTGAAGACGACCAATAGTCCAAAATACGTATGTATATACGGTTGCCTTCCATCGATATATACCTTTTTTGGTTTTTTGTTTTGTGATACATGCCATTACATTTTACTATTATTATTCACTCTTATAAAACGTGACCAAATCATTTATTTACTCTTTATGACTAATAGCAGACTAACTTTATTCAAAAGTCATCAATCAAATGTAGTAGCCATAACTAGCACAGCGTTTGCTCTATCTATCGCCACGCATATATTTACATCATGTTCATTGATTTTTATTGGATTATTTCATGTAGTAATAATAGGTATTAAAGAACATAATATGTCGCAAGACGTTATAAAATATGTATTATATTTACCACAATTTAAACTAATGTTGAAGGTAAAGCAAATAAAATCTAAAAAAATTCAAGAGTTGCATCTAAAAGATCCGATCGACCATGATATTGTTAAAGAAAATAAAATGATGGAAATGGCAACTGAATATCAAGTTGAATTTCGAAGCTCAGGTAAGTCACTTGTTAAGTCATATATTCAAAAGCAAAACTAATATGATATTGGGATATTTGTTTATTAATTTAAATTTATTGTAAATAGTCTCTCTTTAACGTTTTTCAAATAAGTTTCAGAGTAATAGGCGGGTATACTAGTATTCTTGAGTATTATGACATAGGAACCTTGATAAGTTCTAACAGGAGTATTGTTAGCAAAATTTTAGTAATATAAATTAATTTGCCTATAGTTTTTCTAAGACTAAGGTTAAACACAGACAGAGCGGCGTGCGCCGCGTCGGCGGCCGCAGCGACGTTGAAAGCGGTTCCTTGTCTATGGTACTTATGTTGTGCCGTCGTTCGTCAGCTCGCCGCGCGGCCTATGCTGAGTATCATACGCCGTCGGCGGTTTATGACTTCCGGCGGCACATCAGTAATATATTCGTGATTCACATCGAACATAGACAAAGAGGGATCTAATGCTTATGAAAGAGCCAAAAAGTGGCCTCTGATGGCGGACATATCCGAATGTGAATGCGCCAATTTAAATTTTCCGACACTATCAACAATAGCTATATAATATTTTTCAGAATGTGTCTTAGACGAGAAAGTTTACATTAATTATTAATGATAGAGTCTAAAATGCGACACAATTGGTACAAAACTTCAATGTATATAAGTTTCATGTGACATTTGTAACAAACAATAACATAACCAACTAAATTTGATGTCAACAAGGAGAGAGACTCTTTCTTGTTTAAAGGGCCTAAGATCGCACTTCTGTCTAACATATGTTTGCCCCCTACCTTTACATTCCCTCTTTTGTCTTATTGCTCGATGGATTCAACACAGACGTGTGACTGTTTTGCAGCGGATTTATTTGGTTACTTCTGCGAGTGTTTGCCAAATTTTGTATATATTATGGAAGCTATAGACATCAATAAATTAATTATCGAAATTCACACGCGGCCAGCAATTTGGGATATGCGCTCAGATAATTATTCGAATAAAATAAAGAAACAAATAAACTTGGGAAGAGGTTACCCACAGTTTTATTTCGAAAGATGCTTTTCTAAGCCATTTTTAATTTCGTTAACTAACGTGTAAAACTTCTTTTATTTTTTCATTTATTTACTATAGAAAGTATCCAATACCTACGTTTCTTCTTTTTCTTTGATTTAATATGGTAAACTTGCACTAATTAGGAAAAATAAATCGTCGTAACTTTCACTAGATGATTCTAGAGACATCATCTACCATCATATACCATTCTACGTCCAAAACTCGACTAAATTTGACAACACCGAATGCAATGGGTGGATCGTGTAACTAATGTTGGGGTCCTACGTAAAATAGGCAAGGAATGCGAGATTATTAACACTATCAAAAAGCGCAAACTAGAATATCTTGATCATGTTATGAGGAATGAACAGAGATACGGCTTGTTGCAACTCATTCTTCAGGGCAAGGTATTTGGAAAGAGAGGACCAGGAAGAAGAAGAATATCTTGGCTTCAAAACCTGAGAAAGTGGTTTAATACATCGACAACCGGACTGTTCAGAACAGTTCAGAATAGCAGCAAGCAAAGTTAGGATAGCCATGTTGATCGCCAACATCCGGAACGGATAGGCACCGTAAGAAGAAGAAGAAGAATACAATGGAAAAACTACTGCCGTTGTTAACAGGTTAACTGCCACAAAAAATGTTTAAAAAAGTCCATGGTGCCAAGTTATAAAAAGTGCATCTGGCAACCAACTGAAATACTTCCATTACTAATATTTCACCAATTTAATTTATTAGTTCCAATTTTTGAAAAAATATGTCAGCGGTCGAATACGACCGCCGGGGAGTAGGCGACATACTTATTCCCGTGGTGCCAAGCGGTCGGTCGAGCGGTCGTTCCGTTTATGGTGAGATATGTTGAGTATTATGCTATGCTGCAAAGTGGTTGTTTTCACCAATATTTTATCAGTAAAGGTTTGATCGTTAGTAAGACAAGAAGATGATTGTGCTCGTGTTATTTTTAGAGTTAGATGATAGTAAAAACAATTATTACTTCTTGAAATAAAATGGGAGTTCGCGGTAAAATGATGGTTGGTATGGTTTTGGAAAGCAATGAACGTGCAGGTAAGATATAATTTTCATATTTTCATGTAATATGTTATATGAGGGTATTAGACGTATGGACGCAAACCAGGGCGAGTATTGATGAGTCTGTTATTCCTTTTCAAGGTCGGTTTGTAATGAAGCAGTACATACTGCAAAAGACGCATAAGTATAAAGCTAAGCTTTTTAAGCTTTGTAGTGACGGTAGCTACACGTGGAATATAAGGATTTATGCAGGTAAGGAAAAAAATGAAAGTAACGCTTTTGTACCAACAAATCTAGTGATTAACATATCAGAATGCCTTTTGAATTCAAGACGTACGATAGTAGAACTACTATACAAGCCTAGAGTTAGCTAACATTTTACTTGACAAGGAAACTCACTATATTGGGACGCTAAGAGAAAATCGTCGTGGAAACCCAAAAGAAGTAATAAATAAAAAATTGAAAAAAGGGGAAACGTTTGGGTTGGAAAACAAGAGAGGCCTCTGCGTTTTGATGTGGAAGGATAAAAGAGATGTCGTGTTACTATCTACTAAACATACTATCAAAACTCGAGCAATTCAGCGACGAAGTGGTGTTGTTCATAAATCTCAGACTGTAATGGAATACACTGAGGAAAGTCCTCAATTGACCAGTCAGACCAGATGGCAAGTTATAATTTACCTCTACAAAGGTCACTGAAATGGTATAGGAAGCTCGCTGTGGAATTTCTTCTTGGTACACCACTCGTAAATTCTCACATTATTTTCAACCAACTAGCCAATAAAAAGATGAAAATAACTGAATTTAGAGAGCATGTAAAAAGTCGCTCTTAACTTATGAAGACAACATTGAGTCACAAAATAATTCCGAAAGGAAACAACAACAAATACGAACTAAAAGGAGATCGATGCAAACTCATACTTTGGGGAAAAAAGAAGGACTGTATGATAAAATGAAGAAATACTGTAAGGGTTGTTATAAAGAGAAGATTCTCTCTCCACACTCCCATTAACCAATAATTTTTAATTTGTTTCATGTTCTTATTTAATTTTTGTATATATTTTAGTTTGTAATGTTTTTTTTACAGTTTCATATTTTTTTTACGAAATAAAGATCTGTCAAAATTTCGATATCATTTCAGTCTCATCTATTCAGCCAAAATGAAAACTGATATGTACCTATATGCGACGACTGTATACCACGGCGATCGAATACTGCAATAACTTTTTTTCTCTACAGGACCTCTGGCAAAACAGGAACTATATCACAGACCGTATCAAATCGGTCGTATACGACCGCCGTGGCATGCAGTACTTATTGAACTGTCGCGTCGGTCCTGGCAGTCAACCTGTTAAACCGCCTTATGTGTTTTAAGCCGTGCGGCAGCCGACGAGGCGCAAACCTCTCTGTGTCTGTGTTTAACCTAAGGCAAAAAAGGTGGACTGCAGAAGAAATTCTAGATATAGTCGAAGAGTGAAAAAAAGTAAAACGAAATGACGTAACGACGAAACGAAACGTAAGAATTAAAATAAATATTGGAAGAATTAAAAATAAAATAAAAGAGACACGGAATATTAAAAACTGCCAGGAATTCGAGCTACATACTACTTTCAAACCGTGACTCTTTCAACTCCATAAAAAACTTTCAAAAATACCGAAAAAACAGAAATAACAAAATCTTTCATAAAACATCCTGTAGATAGGCAACTTTTTAAAGAGCAAACGTTCCTTCTTGGGCTTTTTTATCGTAGAAGATAGAGGGTTATAGAGAAGTAAGAGAGAGAGAGAGAAGAGAGAGAGAATTTGAGAAAATATATACATATATTTTCAATATAAATTTTGAACATTGTCTTAAGGAAACAGTGAAGTTGTATCCACATCTCAATAAAATCAAATTGACAAGATAGTGAGAGTGTTTATAATTTTGTGGAAACATAAATTTTTGTTTTTAACTGATGCAGAACCCATAATTTTCTAAGCTAAATTAAATCAAATTTCGCTTGAAATAAAATTGAATTCGTATGCTATAAATAGTGCGAGTATTATTTTACACATAAAAGTTATTTAATTTATAGTTACCTATTAATAAACTATACAGTCTAATATTTTCTTAAAAAAATTAACAAAACTAAACTTGTCTTGATCAAGCGTAATAATTATTTCTTTATTTCTTTTTCATTTAACAGATATCATAGACAAAGAGAGAATACTTAAAATAAAAACTGAACATTTCAAATTACCAGAAAATTGGATCATTCCAGAAACTACCCACAAACGGGAACACCGCAATCCAGTTCTGCTAAACAAGTCAGCGCTGGATCCACCATTAATTATTATCCCTCCAACTAGCTTGGGGCAGAATGGTATAGTAAACTAAATTTTATCTTCACCTTTAAATGAAAATTATCATTACTATAGTAAAAGCCACATTTGGAATGCAGTACAGGTAAGATAGGCAATGTATTTCTTACGGGAGAACGGCCAACCATGTTGCTGGTTTGCCTCGAGCGGCGCATCAGGACAGGATTTAAGAATCACAGTACTGGAATATACGTGTACACACAACAATTGCCTACGGTTGTATAAAAGACTATTATTATTGTTTCAGCTAAAGCATAATTCGATTATCAATGTATAAATAACAGAGTTATATTGTCGAACTAAACAATTACTGAAAAAATACTATAAAAAAAGAAAAAAATATCAAAATTCATTGTCGATTGCTTATCTATATTTACCAATTTTTAATAACTTCCATTTTAAATACATTCTTTGGGAAATAAAGATCATTATAAAGTCATTAGGCGAAGCGAATCAGTTTTAATTGTCCACTCAAAGCAAACATGTCTCTTTGTCGATTTGGGTACTGGCCATTAGACCAAAAATTTGTTGGTAAAAACTATGAAAGCTCAGTTCTATTTCATTTTCGCAAATTGATGAAAGTACCTACATCATGGAGCCGTTGCTAGTATCTGTTGTGAATTTTAAATAGGGTATGACTCTCAGTGTGGAAGTAAAACGTGTGGTGTTAACTGTATTGAACTATCATCTGAACTTAAAAAATGGTGACAGCTTGACTATTACTGCGGAAAAATTTCGAAAATGTGCAGTGTGAGTGTTCACAAAATTTAGGACATCCGTGAAGAGGCCAAGCAAAACGAACTGAAACCAGTACAAAAAAAAGTAAAAACAACAGTTTCCAGTCCAATTTACGTGAGAATACTCACGATGAGGGAGTTAAATCTCGAATAAGGAAAATTGATTGATTTCTTTTTGGAAAACATACTACCAACCGTCAACAGCATATAAACAGAGTGAAATATGATGAGGACCTACCAGCTTTTTCAAAAATCACATTTCGTAGGCTACTAAATGACATGGATTTGGAATATGGTAAAAGGGGTAGCAGGTAGTGCGTAGGAACTTTTTTGAATAGTCCTATTAGGAAAAATGAATCCATTCCTGCTCTCCACAGATTCCAGGTGTTTCCTGGCCCGGGAAACTAGTACCTGCTTAGGGTCCCTTGTCCAGGGCCACGGATGAAGTCCACAACGACAGCCACGGAGGAGAAGAATACCTTCGGTACGGTGTGGATGGTGGAAGTGTCAATCCCTTGATTTTAAGGATTGTATAAAATTACTCACCAACCCGTCTAACCTGCGTGGTATTTTAAGGCTAAAAATCCTCCTAACAGGAATATGGCGATAGCTAAAACGTAAGGAATGGGTCCCCAGGTGGGTAGACCATACAATAATGGCAAATCTCACTCCTTTGGAAAAAAGGACAGCTTCATAGAGTCTGGGGAAAGCAAGAAACCGCTAAAAACCACACGATTAAAACAACTCTAAATGTAAGGTCCTTAAGCAAAGATGAAAAAGTCTATGAACTCAAAGAAGACATCAAGGACTTAAAGTGGTCTAGCCGAAGTAAAAATAAAAGAGAAAGAGTACATAACACCAGAGTCCGGTAACGTCCTATGACGTAGGATTCCTAATCTCCAAGAAATATGCACATGAAATAGAGCAATTCGTAGGAATATCTAAAATAATTGCAATGATTAGGCTAAATGTAAACGAAAACCTCTCCCTGAAAATTATTCAAGTGTACGCTCCAACCGCAGCACATCTCGATGAAGAGATAGACGAATTTTATGAGAAAATTGCAGAAACTAGCACGAATTATCACAGTACGTATACGATGATAATAGGATACTTCAACGCTGAGATCGGACAGCGACTTCAGAAAACCAAAAACTATATAGGACATATCGGCTCTGGAGTTAGAAATGAGAGTGGAGAAACCTTCGTTAACTTCTTACAAGCCCACAAATACTATGCAATGAACACATTATATAAGAAAAAATCTCAAAGAAAGTGGACGTGGCTATCTCCAGATGAAAAAACTCGGAACAAAGTAGATTACATACTATGTAACAAAACAGATATCATACAGGACGTAACAATAATAAATACGGCGTCAGTAAGTAGTGATCACTGAATGGTTAGAGCCAAATTAGAGATAAAACTTAATAAAAATAAATTTAGAAAAACTTCGACTATAGACACAGAAGCAAGTTAAAAACCGCGAAAGTATTAAATCTATATAAACTTAGCTTAATGAAATCAATGAAATCATAATAAAAGAACTATTAAATGCAAAAGATCTTCTGAAACAAAATAAAAGAGATACTGCAGAATTTAAGGAACTTAAATCGAGTAACAAGAAAACAGATAAAAGAGGACATTAAAAAACATTAGGAAGACCGTATAAACAAGTCATAGAGAAAAACCGAAGTCTCAAATGCACCAAACCGAAACTAGCAAAGAAAAACATAATAACCATTAAAAATGAACAAGGACAACTAGAAAACAGTAAATCTGATATAGTAAACTCAATCGAAAATTTCTACGCCGAACTTCTACTTCTCAAAGCAGAACTTGAAAAAGCAGATAACAAATTTCAACTTAGAAGTGATGCCCCAAATAAACCACGAAGAAATAGAAAGGGCAGTTAAAAGAAATAAAAAGGAATAAGGCTCCTGGAAGCGATGGAATCCTAGCAGAAATGCTGAAGGAATTCGGAGAAGAAACCATCACATATCTAAAAATACTATATAATAACTGTCTATTTAAAGGCAACATACCCAAACAATGAAAATACTGCTAAAACAATATTAATACACAAAAAGGGAGACACCACAGACCTGAAAAATTATCGACCAATTTCACTTCTTTCACAACTTTACAGAACCTTTACAAAGATTATTACAAATAGGTTAACAATTAAATTTGACGCATATCAACCAGTAGAACAAGTTGGATTTAAAAAAAGGTACAGCACCTGTGACTATCTATATACTTTGAAAATCCTAAGAGAAAAGACTAATGAATACAATCTCCTACTATGTCTGGCTTTCTCTGTATCTGTAGAGTAGAGAGGGCGAGTTAAGTTTCACAGCACTTAGGCCACAATTGACCCATTGTGCATCCTCCCAGGGAGCTGTCACCCTTAGCTCATTTTCCATCCTGCCATTTCTAGGAAGGTGGACAAGTCACCAGGAGACATCTCACTTATGTGGGCAGGTGTAGGCCAGGACTCGCCGAACGCGTACTCTCGTATTAACGATAACTCTGGGCATTCACATAGGACATGCTCTACAGTTTCGTCTTCTCTTTCACTCTTCCTACATAGAGGTGTGTCTACTAGCCCCAGTATGTGGAGGTGTTTGCTTAGTTGACAATGACCAGTTAAAAAACCAACTGCCAAACGTAGATTTTTCCTGGTCATTCCCAAGTACTTCTTCGATGTTGACTCTTCAAGGTTACTTAGTGTTACCTTGGCAAGTTTACATCCTTTACCTTCTTCCCATCTTTTTACGGTTTGCGTATGGGAGTGACATTTGACAATTTTCGCTATTGTTGTAGTTGACCAACCAAAAAGATCCCCAGGTCCTAAGAGTCTTAGGCCTGCCGCCTTCCTAGATAATTGGTCATCAATGCGGTTGCCTTTATTCCTATTGTGTCCTTTAACCCACTTCAGGATGATGGTATTACCATTCGAAGCTTGAGTTGTGACTCGTGACACTCCATTACTAAACCTGATGTGACACGTGGTCTATTCAAGGTTAGTAGCGCTTGTCTGCTATCTGTGCAGATCATTATAGTTTTCACTGCTATACCTTTTTGGGTTATCTCTTTTGCGGCTATGGAAATACCAGTTAGTTCTGTCTGAACTACACTGGCATTTTTGCCCATACCCCACTTTATTCTTAGGTTCAGTGATCTGGAGTATATCCCGCATCCTGAGCCTTCTTTCATTTTGGAGCCATCGGTGTATATGCAGTAGGCATTTGCCACGTTTGTCTCCATATACTGTCTTATTTCAATTTTGTAGGGTTTGTTAAAGACGAACTTTGGTTCAATTGAGTCGCAGCCTGCCTGTAGTACTGGTAACGCATCCAGCCCTCCCCGCCAGAAACGAGTTCTCAATTGTCCCATTCCTACATCAAAGTTTGCACCAGCTGAGCACAGTCGCATCATTGTCACTAGAGCCATCTCTTTGACATATATATCTAGAGGCGTGATGCCAATGATCAACTCATTGCAGCATTTGGTGTTGTTTTCATGGCACCTGTTATATTTATGCAAGCCATCCGCTTGAATATGGTTTAGTTTGTTAATCGCTGTTGCCTGTAGCACTTTTGGTACCCAAGCAATAGCTCCGTCTGGCTTTAAGAGATGTCTGGCTTTAATATGTCTGGCTTTAAGAGATCATGAAAAAGTTTTTGATAGTGTATAACTGTGGGCAATAGAAAAAGCATTAGTCAACAACAGGATCGACTTGAGGTACATAATATTAATACATAGTATGTATTTACGAACAAGCTGAAATGATAGTGACGTTGGGTAATGGAATCGAAACAAGACCAGTAAAAATCAACCGAGGCGTAAGACAAAGAGACACAATATCTCCAAAATTACTACTTAGATGTGGTACTAATAGCTGACACGTGGAATGCACTAAATACGATGATTGAAGATCTACACACAAAATACCTAAAAAAGGACTGAAAATGAATTTCAGCAAAACAAAACCAATGTAAAACAAAGATGACCAATCTATGATAAACTTCCAAGGGACAGAGATAGAATACGTAGATGAATATACATATATGGGTCAAAATATCAAGGTAAGCAAAGAAAATTAGACTAGCGAAATAATCAGACGTGTAAAAATGGGATGGGCAGCATTCGGAAGACTCTCATATGTACATTAAAATAAAAATATACCTCAAAGACTGCGAACTAGAGTGTTTAATTCCTGTATCCTACCTTTACTTACATATGGAGCTCAAAACTATTCA